TTTGACAAATTGGAGCGAGCCCCTTTGCAAGTTCTCAGGTTCAAGTAGACAGCGGAAGGGCCTAAATTACACATATTTTTCGCCCGTGAGGTTATTTTGAGGGAACAGTACCCACACCCCTCTTCGAATTGAACGGCCCTGCATGAGCCATGCTTTTACGGTTGCCGTTGGACTCGTGGGATGCAACACTACGTGCGCGAAGGGCCGCTCATTCTGGGGTTTTCCTCTATACCAGTTCCGAAAACTCAGAGAGCTCCATCCGATCCCTTCTGAGGCGAGGAAAAAGACAAAGCCTTTGCCCTTTGCGCTTCCCGTACCACGACATGGTTTGTATGCTTTGCAAAACGATTTGGAAGAATATCAAGAACAAAAACAGGGGAGCGTGCAAAATGGCTCGTATATTATAACTGTGTTTCCCTTGATCCTTGGACAAGCACCCAGAAATCCAGCCCGATTTCAGGTGAAGACAATACATACGCGTGATTCCAAAAATGGCAGGCTCCCTTTTGGATTCTTGCTTGAACCACCCAGAAAAGGAAACCCTCATCAGTGACAGACCCACATGCTTCCCCTGACTCAGGTCCTTGCCCAAATCCAAAAGCTGCCCCAATTGGAGCCCCAATCCCATCATTTGGGTCGGCCAAGGAGGCAATGGCAACCCCTACAAGGGCTCAAAGTTTAACAGCGTTAGATCTAATTTCATGTGCTTTTTTTCCTGGAGTATGTGTATGTTGTGCAAATATATCAGCTACACCAAATCTTTGCTAGATGGTTGAATGGCCTGGTGTTCCCACCTCGTTCTCCGACCCTGCATTAGGGGGAAGGGGGTACCCTGGCCCCAGAATGATGATGCTTCAAAATAGGTATTGTTTTAGGAGTTCCTTCTGCTCATGGTGTTCTTCTTGGCTGGGTATGTCAAAATAGCGGGACCCCGGGACCCCCAAAACGCTGGTTTTCCTTTGGCTTCCCTTGAAACCAAGCTAAAAAGGTAACTATCCTCACAAAACACGCGCACACACACACACACATCCAGGTCCATCCTCCTCCTCCTCCTCTTGCCACTTCCTCTGCATCTCTTGGACCTCCGTCTTCAGATCTCTGCCTTTCGCCGCCTCGGCGTCCGAAAGCTTTGGGTACAGGAGGCAATCCCCTCCTAAGGCCCTTGCCGTGGTGGGGCGGCAAACCCTCTAGGCATAACATCCGGAGGTGTGGCAGCGCCTGTGTGGAACTTTCGTTCCCGAAACCTTCGGATCATTGAATGTCGGCACATGATTTGTTTTACCCCCCTCTGCGTAACGACGCCCGGTTTTTCCAGCCGACTGCCAGCCAATGCTACTTCGAAGGCATTCACAAGGTTTGCCAAGAGACCACTCTTAATTTTTGGGGCCACCGCCCAAAACCCCTTTCGATTGAAGATGCCCGGTTTGGCCAAAAAAACAATAGACAACACAAAGACAAAGACAAAGCTATTGCCAATTCCAGAAATTAAGAAAAGAACGGCGAGCCAGAATCAGCAAATCTATGGCTGTTAAAAAATAAAATAAAATGACAAGCTGCCAAAGGGTACCCCCCTTCAAGGCTGCCCCCCCTAAATAACACAAAGCCCCTGAGGAATCCTGGCCCTCTCCAGCCCTGAAACTACTTTCTTTTGCAGCCCTATTGGCCAGACAGGTCCAGACCAATCCGAGAAAACCAGTTGGCGACCCACCAAAATCCAGCTTTCCAAAACCTTGGGGGGGGAGGGGGGGGCCCGGCCGGACGGCGCCGTGGAACAAAGGCTGCTCCCTCACATCCGATCCCTCTCAAATCATATGGAACGTCGGCACCTTGCGAAGTGTTTTCCTCAGGGATGGGCCCCCTGGGTTAAACATGTTGTTGTGGTTTCCATTTGGGGTCAACGGCTGGTCCCATCGCTGAATAACATTGTCCAAGGCGTGAGGACTAGCTAATCTTCGCAACGTCCTGATCGTCCCTGAAAAACTGGAAAGTTTGACACGTTTTACCATGTCCCGCGCTGGATTCCAGGTTCACATACATGTTGAACCTCGCCCAGGCATTTTAAAATGTTGAAATTGAAAAAACGCGTTCCACACAATTCTTTAGACCTTCCTTCCCCTTAGAATTAATGCCTAGAGTCTACGTGACTGTTCAGACATGGGGGGTTGACCCATTGAATTTGGGTAATTATTTTGTCAGTTTCGGAGTAATCCGAAGGACTATACCAATCAGCGGCGGTTCTCCTTTGGTACAAACTCCAAAGTGTTAGGATGTGTTCGGGCATTCCTCGATTAGTATGGTCCTCCCGAAAAATCCGATGTTAACATGATAACCTCGTCTTTGAAAAGGGTCATGGACACTCCAAGTAAGTCGTGGTCAAAACTACCCTTTTTCCCCACGTGTGTGTGTGTGTTGTCTGCTGCTTGTGGCATGTTGCATGTTTCCGCGGAGCGTGCTGGTGGTGTGTGTGTGTGTTGTGCTTGAGTGCTGTGTTTGTGTTTCTGTTTGTCTCTGTGGGTGATTCATTTCATGGGACATTTCGTACCCCTGTCGATCCATGGGCCATGGACACATTTTCACCATCTCGCGCCTTGTCCTCAGCGTCTCGGCCCAACCTGCGCAGCTCCTGAACCCGTGGATTCGAAGCTGTACGAGTTTTCTGGACTGGTGGACGGGTTTCAATTTTTGGTGGAGGGAACTAAGAGGGGTTACCCTGAGGGGGAGTGGTTGTGTCCCTGACCTGCGCTTGAAGCAACAAAAAAAAGCAATTCCTGATAACAGGGTATATGGGTATGGCTCAAAATTAAAGAGCTGGGGTTACGCGAATTTTTGTCCTTGGTTCCATTTACCAAGGTGCCGTGTTGGTACCACTTTTTTGAGCCGTAGCCATACAAGTGCAAACCACGTATCCAACTAGGTGGTCACTCTTTCCCTTGACTGGCAGCAGAGATCGGGCCCCAGTTTTGCCACGGACAAAACAGACTGCCTATGCAAAGATGATTTTGCCACATTGGACTTATTGGGCCTCAATTATTTCAGGCTGCGGCCTCTTTGTGTCAAGGGCTTTTAGAGGGGGGGCGTCTAATCCAAAACAATGTCTGACACTATGTCGCAGGTCACGTCGCAGGTCACGTCGCAGGTCACGTCGCAGTTTTGGCATGACGCTAAGAGCTGCAAGTGGGCAGACCGGAAAAGAGATGGAAGCCCATGCTGGGGACGGTAAACAAGTGCAGGAACATGCTTTCTGCGCCGGGCCCTCTCAGTCTGGGAAGCATCCGACAGCCCTGCTCGTCGCTCAAGACATGCTGTCAACAACATGCTTCTCTTCAATTAGAGTTCTGCGTTAAGGCAACTGAAAGAAATCGAGCCTTCTTAAACTTCCAACAGCTGCATGTGGATCGCGCGCGTGTCTGCGAGGCAGGTGGCTGCTACGATGTGCGCGTGTTGACTACAAGCTGGCCATCGCGCAAGCGTCTTGCCAGTCAGAATGCATCAATATCACACGTGCTCCGCCAAGACACTGCCTCAACACACCTGTTTACACCCACGACAAGCGTGCCTCTTGGTTATATAGTTATTCGTGATGCGCGGAACGGTTCACAACGGTTCCGGGCGCGCCTGCGCCTGAGAAACGGAACGGTTCACAACGGTTCCGCGCTCCATTGGATGCGCAAAACGGAACGGTTCACAACGGTTCCCCGAGGGAACGGTTGAGAACGGTTGAGAACGGTTCCGGAACTGTTTGCGGTTGCGCCGTTGGCGACGATGGAACGGTTGACAACGGTTCCGCGCTGAGTTGCCTGGGGCAAACGGAACGGTTCACAACGGTTCTGCGCGAAAGTGCTTCGGGCAGACTGGAAGGTCCACCAACCGCTGAAGATGGGTGTGATTCTGCAATTGCAGGAGCCGATTTCCAGTCGTCAGCATGTGCAGATCAAAACCAGTACTCTTGGAACCGTTGAGAACCGTTCCGGAGGCCAACCGAACATTACAAAGCGAGCAAAATCTATGTCGCAACTCAGGTCGCAGGTCATGTCGCAGGTCGTGTCGCAGAGCATGTCGCAGGCCTTGTCGCGGGCGTCTGGCGAGGCGCATTGCGAGAAATGCCGGCGCCAGCCTGCAAGCAAGGCGGCCGTCATTTGAAAACGGCGCTTTGCCCTGAAGTTCTGCTGGCATGTCTTTGCGAGCCTGAAAAGAAAAGCACTCCTGCAGCGTAAGTCATACCTGCGACTAACATGGCGGGACCTCTACTCGCCTGAACTGGAGCGCCCGTGTTTTACTGTCAAGCTTCCGCAGGGACACGCTGATCAAAGCAAACCGGGTGACCCAGCTGCAAATGAACGGATACGTCTTGGCTTACGCGGGCTGATGAGAGCTATGCTGTACGAAGAGAACGAGACCGTCGTCGCAAGGTGCATCTGGAGCGCGCGCTGGCTCGAGGCCGGCTGCCCCACGTGCAAGGCAGGCGCAAGAAATTGCTTAACAACCTGGTGCAAAAACAGGCCCTGCGCTGTGAAAAAGGGCACAAAGGGTGAAGCCAATATTTTTGTCATGATAGGTTTTAAAGGATGCTCCCTAGCGATTGGCCGCGGGCCAAAGCTTCACAAGCCTTGCAGACCGACGTCATCTTTGCGTGTCATAATGTTCCGCGCAGATGTTGTTTCTGCCGCAGAGGGTGCTTCGCCTATACCATCCGTGGCCTGTCTAGTTGCGAGCTACAAAGGCACCCTCCAGGCTACTGCTGTTCTAGGGCTTTGTGAGTGGCAACTCCTCTGTCCCCAAGCCCGACGTCTTCTGTTACACCCCCAAGATGCGAACCCTGCAAAACCAGTTTGTGACATGACCCGAAACGTCACCTGAGACGTGGGTTGTGACGTCAATCTGTTTTAGTCGGCTCTACTCATCACAAACAGGTGAATAAAGAGGCCGCAGCCTGAAATAAGGCCTCAATGATGCTTCTTAACCGTAAGTCTTAACCATTGCGGGCGGAGACGCCGGGGAACCCGTTTTTGATAAGAATGCTCGGCCCTGGTGCGCGAGGCCGCAAAAATTTACCGAGACCTGTTAGCTTCCCTTGAATGGGCAAGTACTTCCATTTGCGTTTGCGGTGGAACTGAAGCATGAGACGCAAAACGCAGCAATAACTTTCTTGGGCACTTTTGTTGCCATTGAGAACACACAAATACAAACACCCGTCATGACAATTTCTGCGGAAACTCGCCGCGTCCACCGGCAAGCTCACCGAGAAGTACTTGTCCGCAACTTTACTTTGTAGGGACATGTGGATCACTGCCGCACCGTCCGCCAGCCCGCAAACTCTCTTGCTGCTTCCGCGCCGCCTACGGCCTCCGTATTCCCCATAGATTGGGTCACTCGGGCTACGTCGATGTCTGCGTATACTCGAGGCTACTCGCTAGCAGCCCCCAAACAAATACAACCACAAAGAGGCAAGCGACCTCATTTGCAAGGGTTCTCTTCAAAGATCATTTCAAAGAGGGAACTCCAGCAAAATGGGCAACTGGTTTTGCATCAACCAACCCAAAAGGAGCATAAGGAGACCCAGTTGCCAGCGACCCGAACGGAAAAAAGGGAACCCCTTTTGGGGCCATGTCCATCTTTAAGTGCGGGACACACACTGGTAGAGGTGTGATTTTTCTCCTAGGGCTGGTTTTTCCCTCGGGCTTGTTTTGCGCAGGTCTCGCAACATCTTCGGTATTACCAGCAGGGGTTGCCTATTGGCTCTGATTGGGAGGCAGTTGGGGGTTGCCGTGGGCTGGTTTAAGGTAAGAGGGGATTGGGCTGGCTTAGATCTTCAGGAAAGTGGGTCTTGGGGTGGTTTGGGGTTGATTTAGGCGAAGCGAAGGGCTGACGTCCAGGCTGCGTGAGTTGTGAGAGAGTCTTGGTGGTTTGCTCCAAAACCAATGTTAAACGAGACCAAAACTCGCGTAACCACATTCCTAAAGCCACCCTAAAGGCGCTTATCCGGCAGCACACCCAACACAAATCAGCTCCAAACCACCCCAAGACCCACCCTCCTGAAGATCTCAGCCAGCCTACACCCCACTGCCTCCCAATCAGAGCCAATAGACAACCTCCGAGCCATGAGGCTGGTGATGCCGGGGATGCGGCAAGCCAACCAACCAACCAACCAACCAACCAACCAACCAACCAACCAACCAACCAACCAACCAACCCAGCCCTAGTAGAAACCAGCCCTAGGGAAAAAAATAACACCGGATCCGGACACACACACACACACACACACACCAAACAGAAAGGGATTTCAAGGGTCCGAGAGCCCTGGGCAAGGTCGGGAAAACGCTGGGGCGCCCTGTTTTGGCGACCCCCAACCGGCTTGTCTTAGCCCATAAACTCAACAACACGGAGACAAAAACGCTTTTGGTTGGCTTCAATGAACGTCCCCGGTCCAAAGCCACGCCTGCTGAAGCTCCTCGCAGACTGTCTTCGCCGACCGCAAGCTCGCCAAGATGCTGGCATCTGGCGCCTCGGCACAGATGGACCGGACTGGCGACTGGGCAACAAAGATCGCCCAAAAGATTTGTGTCCAGGTTCCTTCTAGTGAGTCCCCCATCAGTTTGAGAAGCTTGCAGGCGTATCATGCTTATTCTGCGTCCCCACCATTTTCCATGAAACTGATTCGGGATTTGAGCCCATCTGACATCCCCTCTTTAAACATCACCACACCAAACAGGCACAAAAAGGAAACTCATGTGCAAAGGGCCCGAAAGGTGATGCTTCAAGCCAAACGCAAAATAAAGGGAACCCCAAAGGCGTCCTCGCTCGGTCAAACCCACGCAGGCTGAAACATGGTTCCAGTTACATCCAACTTGCGGGCAGCAAGAACTGAAAATCCCGAGGTCCCAATTGTCTTCCATTCCCTTGTGCTTTAAGTGCCATACACTTGGAAAATACGACAGGACCAAACTTGGATCCTCATTGTCTCAAACCCCTTCAACTGCTGGCCAGAGCAGTGGGCGCAACTCGCATCTGTGGTCCCCGGCGAGGTCCGGGGGCTTGGGAAGTTCCTAGCGAGCCCGGGGGCGTTGCATGACAGGCGGGTGCAAGAACTGCGGTCTGAACCACCAGCTAGCTGCAAGCCCTTTAGTGCGCGCTTAAATGTTCTGATTCGTTCTGAACACGAAGTGCGGCCCATGTTCTTAAAAGAGACCGCAAACCCTGCACATCACATGGGCCCCTTAGCTGCCAGCCGGTGACCTGGGTTCCAGCATTGCCGGCCCAATGCTTCACAGCACTTGTCTGCAACCAAAGACAAACCGTGATCCATGCTTGGTCCGAGCCTTGTTTTTTACATCATCTCAAAAGAATTCAGTCCCAGCGCTTGCGGCTTGCGTCTGCACAGTTGCTTCTCCAAGTGTTGCTGGCAAGCCAACAGGTGGGGCACAAGCAAAGATGGGATTCAAAGGGGTCTACTGAGTCTACTCGACATTGTGCAACTTATGAAAAGGGCAACTATCTGAACCAAATTCTGGTTTTGACTGCTCCTGTCATCTACGGCTTTGGTTGTGGCTCGGTTGAAGCAGGGTTCATACCCCAGGTGCAGGTGACCTGCTAGAAGAGTTGGACCACTGTTTGGTCGGCTGATTGTCTTTTGAGTGGGTCCCGATCCCGCGAAACCAAATATATCAGTCCCAAATGAGGGACTCCTTCTGGTTGCTATGGGAAGCGACACTAAAGACGTCACCCGAACTGGGAACCAAACTGGGCGACTCAGAAACATTCACTTTTCCTGAGATCTAGAATCTTCAAGAAAGGATCCTTCCTTCCTCATAGGCGAGGTCGCCAAACCCAAGTACTTAGGTCGTGATTTCATTTGTCCAGACCAATTTTAGGCGTCCCCGAATCGGGGTGTGTCTCAAAATGAAGGGGCACTCCAGGTGTCCCCGTTGGTTTCCCTTCGAAAGCATTCCTGAAGGCAGGCTCTCAAAAAACAAACCTAGGCAACCTAGCCGGGTGTTTAATAGAGTGTCTGAAAACGTTAGACAATTATGGCCGTGATCGATCGCACCCAGCTAAGTCGAATCTAGGTTGATCCAACGAACACTGCTTTTGGGCTGCCGTCATTTTGCAAAGGCCTTCTGTCCACTTCTAAGGTTGTTGGAAGGAGGGTATGATCTACCGCACCCTGCCTTCGTCTTTCGGCTGAACTCCTCCTTTGCATTCGTGAAGAACTGCAGGCGTGCCTGACATCGACAACGTGCAACGGCAAATTCCCTGCAACGTGCACCCGCGCCGCAACACCAATGGAAGGTGCTTGCACAAATGAATGGTGTGGTGTGGTTGTGTGGATTTGCACTCCTTTTACTGTGCGGTTTTGCCTCGCTGTCTGTGTTGTGGTGTTTGTGTGTGTATGTGCCTGCGTCGTTGCGAAGATGCTCTGTCTCTCTCTCTCTCGCTCTCTCTCTCTACCCCTCTCTCTATGTCGCTCTCTCTGTCTCTCTCGCTCTGTCTGCCTGTGTGTTTGTTTGTCTGGGAGTCTGTCTATCTCTCTCTCTCTCTCTCTCTCTGTCTGTGGTTGTGTGTGCCTGCGCTGCGCGTCTGTGCGTCTGTTTGTGTTTGTGTCTGTGTCTGTGTCTATGTATGTTTTTGTGTTTGTCTTGTCTCTGTCTCTGTCTCTGTCTCTGTCTCTGTCTCTGTCTCTGTCTCTGTCTCTGTCTCTGTCTCTGTCTCTGTCTCTGTCTCTGTCTCTGTCTCTGTCTCTGTCTCTGTCTCTGTCTCTGTCTCTGTCTCTGTCTCTGTCTGTCTCTCCGTTTGTGCGCGCGTCCATTTCTATTTCCGTGTCTGCGTGTCTGTGTGTCTGTGCGTCCATGCGTCTGTGCTTTGTGTGGCGCGTTGCTTTCAGAGGGTTTCCTGGGCCCTTTACACATCCTCAAGTTTACCCTCCAAATAGTGGTTTAAAGGGTTTCCTGCCCCCCAAACCTAATTTGGAGAACTCCCTCCACATGTGACCACCTCACGACTGGACACCCAGCGACTGCCACATCTTCCTCCCAAATTGTGACCACCTCAAACACCCACCCCTCTCACCCCACCCCTCCCTCCCCACCCACCAACCCCTCGCAGCCCTCCCACCTGTTGGCCTATTGAAATCAAAGTCCAGACACTCTGCCGCGATCCGCGATCCGCCTGCTGCACGGCCTTCACCCGGCGCAGCGCCCGGGCGCGGCCACCCAGTGTGGCGCAGCTGGGCTCCGCCTGAAAACATCAAATATATGTATGTATGTATGTATGTATTCATGCATGTATGTAGGTAGGTATGTATGTATGTATGTAGGTAGGTATGTATGTATGTAGGTAGGTAGGTATGTATGTAGGTAGGTATGTATGTATGTATGTAGGTAGGTATGTATGTAGGTATGTATGTATGTAGGTAGGTAGGTATGTATGTATGTAGGTATATAGGTAGGTAGGTATGTATGTATGTATGTAGGTAGGTATGTATGTATGTATGTATGTAGGTAGGTAGGTATGTATGTATGTATGTATGTAGGTAGGTATGTATGTATGTATGTAGGTATGTATGTATGTAGGTAGGTAGGTAGGTATGTATGTATGTAGGTAGGTAGGTATGTATGTAGGTAGGTATGTATGTATGTATGTAGGTAGGTATGTATGTAGTATGTATGTATGTATGTAGGTAGGTAGGTATGTATGTATGTAGGTATATAGGTAGGTAGGTATGTATGTATGTAGGTAGGTATGTATGTATGTATGTATGTAGGTAGGTAGGTATGTATGTATGTATGTAGGTATGTATGTATGTAGGTAGGTATGTATGTAGGTATGTATGTATGTATGCAGGTATGTATGTATGTATGTATGTATAGGTAGGTATGTATAGGTATGTATGTATGTATGTATGTATGTATGTAGTATGTAGTATGTAGGTATGTATGTATGTATAGGTAGGTAGTATGTATGGTATGTGTATAGGTATGTAGGTATGTAGTATGTAGGTATGTAGGTATGTGTATGTAGGGTAGGTATGTATGTATGTAGGTAGGTAGGTATGTAGGTATGTATGTATGTATGTAGGTAGGTAGGTAGGTAGGTATGTATGTATGTAGGTAGGTAGGTATGTATGTAGGTAGGTATGTATGTATGTAGGTAGGTAGGTATGTATGTAGTATGTAGGTATGTATGTATGTATGTAGGTATGTATGTATGTATGTAGGTAGGTATGTATGTATGTATGTAGGTAGGTAGGTATGTATGTATGTATGTAGGTATGTATGTATGTATGTATGTAGGTATGTATGTATGTATGTAGGTAGGTATGTATGTATGTAGGTATGTATGTAGGTATGTATGTATGTAGGTATGTATGTATATATGTATGTAGGTAGGTAGGTATGTATGTATGTATGTATGTATGTAGGTAGGTATGTATGTATGTATGTATGTATGTAGGTAGGTAGGTATGTATGTATGTATGTAGGTAGGTAGGTATGTATGTATGTAGGTAGGTAGGTATGTATGTAGGTAGGTAGGTAGGTATGTATGTAGGTAGGTATGTATGTATGTATGTATGTAGGTAGGTATGTATGTATGTAGGTAGGTATGTATGTATGTATGTAGGTAGGTAGGTATGTATGTAGGTAGGTATGTATGTATGTATGTAGGTAGGTAGGTATGTATGTAGGTATGTATGTATGTATGTAGGTAGGTAGGTATGTATGTATGTAGGTAGGTATGTATGTATGTATGTAGGTAGGTATGTATGTATGTAGGTAGGTAGGTATGTATGTATGTTTGTAGGTAGGTAGGTAGGTATGTATGTATGTAGGTAGGTAGGTAGGTATGTATGTATGTAGGTAGGTAGGTAGGTATGTAGGTAGGTATGTATGTATGTATGTATGTAGGCATGTATGTATGTATGTAGGTAGGTAGGTAGGTAGTTATGTATGTATGTATGTATGTAGGTATGTATGTATGTATGTAGGTAGGTATGTATGTATGTATGTAGGTAGGTAGGTATGTATGTATGTATGTAGGTAGGTATGTATGTATGTAGGTAGGTAGGTATGTATGTAGGTATGTATGTATGTATGTAGGTAGGTAGGTATGTAGGTAGGTAGGTATGTATGTATGTAGGTAGGTAGGTAGGTATGTATGTAGGTAGGTAGGTATGTATGTATGTATGTAGGTAGGTATGTATGTATGTAGGTAGGTATGTATGTAGATAGGTAGGTAGGTATGTATGTATGTAGGTAGGTAGGTATGTATGTATGTAGGTAGATAGGTAGGTATGTATGTATGTAGGTAGGTAGGTATGTATGTATGTATGTATGTAGGTAGGTAGGTAGGTATGTATGTAGGTATGTATGTAGGTAGGTATGTAGGTAGGTAGGTATGTATGTATGTATGTAGGTAGGTAGGTATGTATGTATGTAGGTAGGTAGGTAGGTATGTATGTATGTAGGTAGGTAGGTATGTATGTATGTAGGTAGGTATGTATGTATGTATGTAGGTAGGTATGTATGTATGTATGTAGGTAGGTATGTATGTATGTATGTATGTAGGTAGGTAGGTATGTATGTAGGTAGGTATGTATGTATGTATGTAGGTAGGTATGTATGTATGTAGGTAGTTAGGTATGTATGTATGTATGTATGTAGCTAGGTATGTATGTATGTATGTAGGTAGGTAGGTATGTAGGTAGGTAGGTATGTATGTATGTATGTAGGTATGTATGTATGTATGTAGGTAGGTAGGTATGTAGGTAGGTAGGTAGGTATGTATGTATGTATGTAGGTATGTATGTATGTAGGTAGGTAGGTATGTATGTATGTAGGTAGGTAGGTATGTATGTAGGTAGGTATGTATGTATGTATGTAGGTAGGTATGTATGTATGTAGGTAGGTATGTATGTATGTAGGTAGGTAGGTATGTATGTATGTAGGTATGTATGTATGTATGTAGGTAGGTATGTATGCCTGTAGGTAGGTATGTATGTATGTATGTAGGTATGTATGTATGTATGTATGTAGGTAGGTAGGTATGTATGTATGTAGGTAGGTAGGTATGTATGTATGTAGGTAGGTAGGTAGGTATGTATGTAGGTATGTATGTATGTAGGTAGGTAGGTATGTATGTATGTATGTAGGTAGGTAGGTATGTATGTATGTAGGTAGGTAGGTATGTATGTATGTAGGTAGGTAGGTAGGTATGTATGTATGTAGGTAGGTATGTATGTATGTAGGTAGGTAGGTATGTATGTATGTAGGTAGGTAGGTATGTATGTAGGTAGGTATGTATGTAGGTAGGTATGTATGTATGTATGTAGGTAGGTAGGTATGTATGTATGTAGGTAGGTATGTATGTATGTATGTATGTAGGTAGGTAGGTAGGTATGTATGTATGTATGTAGGTAGGTAGGTATGTATGTAGGTAGGTATGTGTGTATGTATGTATGTAGGTAGGTATGTATGTTTGTATGTAGGTAGGTAGGTAGGTATGTATGTAGGTAGGTATGTATGTATGTAGGTATGTATGTATGAATGCATACATATATATAATCATATATATATATGTATATATATATATATATATATATCTGTCCTTTTTCGAGTCTGTCTCATGTTTAGTCAACCCGAACATGTTACAAACCTTCGGAGGAGAGCCCACAAGAGGTCCTCGGAGCCTTCCTAGGGGTTCTTCGCAGGGCCCTTTCTGGCGGCTGGGGGGGTTCTAGGGTCTCTAGGGTCTCTCCAAATCTCGGGGGATGAGAACTGGGAAGAACTCAGACAAAACGGAAATTGCGAAGTGGAATCATTACTACAACTCCTAGATTCCCATCTGAACAGTCCTCTCTTTGGTAAGACGCCTCGAGGCATTCCTCCGCCACTTGCAGCTCCTCCTTCAGTGTCTGGAGCTCCTCCGGCAGAAGCCTTCTATACCATTAACCGATGGGCTCATACAAATCTAAGGATTGCTAACCTAAGCCTTGTCAACCCTAAACCCAAAAACATTGTTCAACCATCCAAATTTGGTCCTTGCCATTCTTATGGGGCAAGGAATAGGGTATGGGGGTAAATCTTCAATCGGGTACCCTTTGGTGGACATCATTTAGATAGGGTGTTCACCTCCAACCACTTTTGGATCAGCAAAAGTACCCCATGATTTTTTGTGGCATTCTGTAAGCCTCACATTGGAAACAAAAGGCGCACCTTGATGCACCCCTTAGCTCCGAGTTGCGAAATTCCCATGGGCCAAACCCGGAGAGGGTGAAGGGCTCTCGATATTTCTCCGCTAACCATCACCCCACCAAAAGGAACTCACTTCGAAATGGCCCAAACCGTTTTCAAACCACCTTTCAACTGGGTCGCTCTTCCACGCCGAGCAAACGGTCGATCACCTTTTGCAGGTGTTAACGGAAAACAAAGTTGTTTCCAAAAGGTCTAAGGAGTCTAAGCGGCGATTCGGTGAAACTGAAGACCAGCTCTGTCGACATCTCAGATGCCCAGTGGCCATGGGGAAGAAAGGGCAGCCTTTTTTGTTGGTTGAGTTTTTTTAAGGGGAACCCTTACCCAAAAAAAGGAAAAAAGGGCGCCACTGGGCAACAGAGACATAGGGAACGCTGTCAACCGCCTGTCCTTCTCCACCAGACTCATCTCCAGCTCTCGCGCCCGCTCACCTTGACACGCGCAAGTCAAGTCAAAATCCGGTGAACTCAACTGCATGTATTAATCACTTCCCCGATGCACCCCGACGTTAATATATGCATCATCATAGTTCATCAACCTAAAATAAGGAAACCCAAGTAAACGTTGATCATCGCGGGTGAGCTGCTTGTATCTATTTCTGGCTGTTTGGCTGTTGGGTTGTTGGGCAGTTGGGCTGCTGGGCTGTTGGTGTTCTTGGTTTTGCTGGGCTGTTGGGGGGAATTGAATGGCCATGCGGCCCCCCATAATACACCACTGTTGCCGTCTGCCCTTCTTCGTCTATCTCAAAGTTGAGGCATAGAAAGCCACTGCCAAGTCTTTTGAGAGCTGCGAGCCTCGAGGGAATGTTCAGTGTAAAATGATGTCCCACATGCTAGTGCTCTTATGTACGCCATGGGGCAAGGAATGAATCAAACGAATTCCCTCAGATCATTCCCTTGCGACAAGGTTATGCGAGTCTGATCATTGGGAAGCGCCACGCATTCAACCTCGTCAAGGGAGGCCATAGCTCCACAAGTTGTCTTGCGAGAAGAAAACACATTACTTTCTGGAACTGTTGCTGGTCCTTCGTCATTGGCTCCGGCAGGACAGCCCGGCATGCCGCTATCCGGGGGCTCCCTCTTGTTGTTAGTTTTGAATGTCCATTTGCGTAAAGCACTACTCATCATCAAATGCATTTACTATGCACGAGTTGAACCACACTGTACAACCAGCGAATCATACGCAAGTGGCAGCAAAGGGAGGCCCTGAAGCCGAAAAGCAACTTTGGGGACCTTACCAAACCCCCAAGCCCCGAAAAATGGGGGTCAACAAGCCGAAAGGCTTGAAAGGCCAAAGGCCAAATAGGGCCAAGTAAGGCTCCAGCCTTCAGGGGGTGGTAGGATTTCTAAAAGCAACCCCAGACCTTTTCCAGGCCAACAGGGCCCCCAGGATACACGCGCAAATCACATGGGACACGTAGAAAGTGTTTGAACCAGCTGAAGGATTTGGAAGTTCGGGCCAACTCCCAAGCACATTCCGCCCCGGATCCCCCCCCGAACCGAACCTCCGGGGGCTGGCTTTCCGCTTGCATCCCGACTCCGCTCTGCGGCAGCCTTCGGCCGAAGGGAGCCCAAGTAAGCCTTATGGCGGCGAAAGGGTGTATTTGAGCTCCCTCAGGCCCCATGATTAGTTGGCCTATGGTTGGCCCTGATCCTTGTCTGTAGGGTTGATTGCTTCAAGCAAGAACAATCCCGATGTGAGCAACTGACAATTGTATTATGGTCAGTTTACTTGACTGGGCGCCTACCCAACATCACCCCGACACTTGAACATTTGGCGGACGGCGGCAGTGGGATTGCAGAAGTGGACATTCTGGAGCAACAAAGGAGGAAGGCCCATCTGCATGGACTGTCAGATCATGCCAGAAGAGTTCAAGAAAGAAGGCGGCAGCTCCGCTGCAGTACTTGTGCAAATCGTTGCGCAGGAGTCTATTTGGCTTGCAAAGGAGCGCTAGCGAGGAACGCAAAGATCTCCTTTGCAAAAGGAGAGGGCCTAGTTATTCACCCCTTTGTGGCACCCAACCTCTAAACCTTGATCCCAAAACATATGGTTCTTGATTTGTTCAAACTCACTTTCTTAGGAGGTGCTTTGTCTCATTGTGCCCCCACAATGTACGAATCCTTCCAAGGGAGGGATGGGAGCCAGGCATCCCCTATCTCACAAAGTATCTGTCTAGCCTGTTCGAAATTCTGGGGGCCCAATTGCAATCTGTAATCCACTTAACCCTGATTTTGGCTGACAATCTTCTTCATCCGTAATCCGCGCTGCAAGCTTTGGGTCAAACCGTATTGATCCTCCAGCCGCAAGCCGCACAATCTAATCCGCAAACCACTCAATCCGTAGCCCAGGTGTTGAACAAGCCAGGCCGTTTCTCTGAAAACATGCACTTTTGAAAAATCAGGGCTTCAGAAACCCTACTGATCCAAACCTTGCATATCTGGACCCTATTTTCCAGTGCCATCCGCGCGCCAAGGAAACTGCCAAACCCAACAAACGCCGCCCAAGAAGCCCCCCACCCGCCGAGACTGCTGAAAAGAAGATGCGCATCTTAGGTATCCTTTTCTCATCTCATGCAACATCTATGTGCAGGTTATTCCTTATCCCCCAACTGTTGAGGGGTCTTTCCAGGGGTGCGGGTTGTAGGGTCCCTGAATTCAATCAATCTGTCCATTCGTCCGCGTAATCCCATGGACATTGACGTGTCAATGCACAGCTTGCCTATTGGGATACGCCTCTATCTGCCTCCATAATTGTTACTTAAGGAGGGTGGACGTCCCTTCGAGACCTTGAAGGACCCTTCGCCCATGTTGTACCCTCCGGTTTGTGGGTTTCACTTGCCAAAGTCGGACCTTGACAAAACACGCCGCCCAAAAACGGACACCAAAAGGCTCCAAAGGTCACGGTCTTCGGGAACCCTGAAGGGCCGTGGTTGCTCCAAAGGAAATCCATATGTAAGTTATTATGCCGCGTAGTTGCTCGTTGTCAATTTGCCGTAATTGTTTCTCTTTGGCGGGATATCGAAGACCATCCCATATGCTAGCATGGAAGCCACCAAGTGCCCCTCAAAAAGTGAAGCACTTCTTCCCAAAGGTCCTGGAAGGTTCGACAGAATTGGCTTGGGCAGAGCATGGCTTCCCTATGGAAACATAAAAACACATTCTGAGAGGGTTTCCCGTCTAGGGTACCCTTTTGAGGTTCCATTTTTGATTTTATTGCTTTCGTAAGATCGACCTCTCCCTTCTCAGCACCTCCACCTGCGCCAAGTCCTCTAAGGCGCTTTCGTCCTTAGACGCGCTCCAGGAAGTTCCTGGAAGGTGGGGGGATTCCAAAGGAAACGAAATTCTGGCGGCCGTACTTGGAATGGAATTGTGCGGAAATTAAAAAACCAAAGGAAGTCATGATCAAAAGAAGATGTTGGTAATCATTTAGCTTCTCATGCAAGCAAGGACCCTACAACCACCCTGCCCCCAAAGCCCCCTCCAATTGCCAGGGCCTTATTCGGCCTTCGTTGGCCAGGCGTATGAAACCCGAACCCTTGCTAGGGTTAGGCGGACTGCTCGGAACCTATAAAGCAATTTCAGGAAGGGACGGTTCTTTTCGGAGAGGACCCCTCAGCTTTATGAATCCAGGGTCAAATTCAAGGCAAAACATCAGCCAGAATCAAGGGCTCCGTAAGGTAAAGCACCTTCAGCGTGGATGAGCTCACTTTACCCTAAGCTGAGTTCGAAAACGGTTAGTGAAGGTTCCCAAAGCCTCAATTCGTGGTTCGTTCACCTTTTGCAAAAACTTACACTCTTGGTGGGAAAGGCCACATTTAAAAGTCTAATGGTATGACTGGGAACCGCCAAGGTATGCACGCCAGCGAAGACACATACGGGTTGGGCCAAAGAAAATGGTCGGAAAACCAGCCTCGTTTGCGGATCGCTCCCCTTTTAGGACACACCCAGACCCAGTTTAGGAGCTGTTCCTATTCGTGGTTCGACATCATGCTTCTGGCATCACCCTTTGTTAGAGGTTCCCTTCGTTTAGAACAGAAGGCTGTCCTTAGAAGGCCCAAACCACCATCTCAGCCCTGAAGGTAGGGGACATGACCGATATGGACCCAAACTGATTTGAGTTCTGCTGGCGTTGAGGTGACAGTCCTGAAGCTTCAAAGTGAGTGCCAGGACTCCCCAATTACACCATAAAAAAAGGAAACCCCCCAAACAAAAAACATTGAACATGAAGGGGTGGGGACGCCTATTCTCACAAGCTCTCGGGGCGGTCCTTTGAACCAATCTGGCAAGTGGGGCTGGCTTTGGGGCGCGGCATTGGCTTTGAGATTGGGCGGTTTTGACGCGTTTTGCGGGCTTTTCTACGACTCTTCCCAGGCAAGCCTCTCTGCCCGCCGTCTGAAGCGCCGGCCTCGTTGACTTTCTGCTAAAAGTTTAACTTTTAGTGGGTCAAATACGGAAACTACCACTAAACCAACTGAAAAGCTAAAAAGCTAAGGAATCGGATGGCTGGGAGCCACCAAGGCGGGAGGGAACCGTTCCCCTCCCTCGCCGCGGCGCAGCAGCAGAGCGCCGCAGCTCCAAGCGCCTCCGCTGCTCCTTCAGGGCCTCCAGGCGCTCCTCGCTCGACGCTCAGCCGGTGCCCCCGGAATCCGCGAAGCGGGGCCTATGACCTTCCCATGGCTCCCCTGCATTGGACCAAAGGGCGCCAAGCTGTTGACCAACCCCTTGGACCATATCCTTACAGCAAACACAAAAAACCGCGGTAAACGAAAAGGTGGACAAGGGAATACAAGGGTACATGGTGGGAAAATGGCACATTTCTGATTTGGGCTCTGGTTTGGGATGTCTGTGGAGGTTGTGGCAAACGCCGTGGGTGTTGTCTAAGTGGTGGATGGCAGCCCAGACTGAACCTGAGGGTTTTTTATAGCCCCCTAATGGATTTCTGTATGGCCGAGATAGCCTCTACTGCAGGTCACTCATAAATTTGATAACCGACTCCAGAAACTACTGGGCAGACCCTAATTCAAAAATACGGATTCCAAGCCAGTGTTGATGCAGGCTTTTGTGCGATCTGCTTTTTGGGGATCCGGTTGAAACACATTGGGTGTTGAATCCGTGGAACTGGAGGTCTTTGCCTATGACACCTCAAGGTTACCAGGGCAAAGGTAAAGGGGAAAGTTTCATTTGAGTTCTCAAGTTTGAAGAACCAGTTCAGAACCTGAGTACCAGCCGGGTTAAATCAGCTTTTTTGGCCAGACCAAGCCTTCTTCTGCTTTTCCTATTTCGACACTCACCCACTGTTGTCCAGGTTCAAAACAAAGGAACGGCTTGTTCTGATGGTTCCAGGGCCAAGAAGCCACGACCAAGATAGGTTTAAGCGCTTGAAAGTCTCACTGACGTTGCATGGAACCCACTAGGAAGGTCCCAAACGATTGGTGTATCATCACGTGTGGACCCACTGGTAGATGCATGGCCAAGGCGGGTTGCGGCTCTCCACAACTGTAGCAAGAGCAGAGTTTCTCAGGGAGGTCGACATGATGAGACACGAGCCCCGGTCTCAACATTACGAAGGTTTCCCAAAGGACCTGAGGCATTTAGGGCCCGTTGGTTTTTGTAGGAAACCTACTGAGTCCCCCCCATGTCCCTCCCAAATGGACCATAGAAACCTTACATGTTTCTTCTTTAATGTTTTTTCCTTTTGCCTCAGGTTGACTCAAGTTTCCTTTGTGGCATTGGCCTACCAGCTAAGGAGGGATGGCTGACTTGGGATCCAAATCGCGAGCGAAGATCCGGCTCGTTGCGCCAGCGGAACGGGCGGACCCCTCCTTGTGCTCTGTACACCGTGCCTCCAGCGGCCGCAGCTTGCGTGAGGATCCGCCGGGAGATGGGCTGCGGGCTGAAAGGAGCTCGGTCTCCAGGGCGTCTAGGCGCGCCTGGCCAAGCCAGTGACCCTGGGTCAACATAGGGACATGAACCCTAAAATGGCGATGGCGATCATTTCAACATCCCAAACAGGGTGAGCGATTTAGCCCAAGGTCCAAAAAGTTGGGACGTCCCTTGCTTCAAATTGCAAACTATAGCGTCCGGCCCCTTTGCCCGTCAGGCTCCTCTGCCCATCCGCACGCCTGTTTTTTGGTTCTTGCAAAAGGCCATATTTCTGTAATACCAAAGTGGCCCCCTATGACCACTTCACCATTCAGATTCCTTGGCCACTCTAAAGACTTTCTTTCTAGAGCTCTAGTTCCCACGATTGGGCTATGAATGGAGGGTTGGCCAAATCCATAAGTGGCTCACTTCTTGCAAAGGTTTTGCCACAAGCTTCAACGGCTGCTTCTTGGTGCTCTTTGGCTATCCCTGAAATGACATGCCGTTCCTCGTGCTTTTCCCCAGCGACAGCTGCGATTGGGTTGGGGCAGATTCCTGTCCGGAGGAATACTTCTTCGAGCGGATCGTCCAAAGTGTGTTGTCATGCCTTTGCGCGACAAGTTGCTATTTCAACCAAAACAACACTTGTTTGTCTGGGTCCAGGCACCCTTTACTCTTTTCACTCTTCTGGGACAAATCCATGAAGGCGAAGCCGCGACTTTCCCCAAACAAACGGCAACAATCTCCGACCATGTTTCCCGCTACATTTGAAGCAACACGCTTGCAGCGCAAACGTGTGTTTGTTCGACCAAAGGACTGAAAATTGATTGGGCTTTTTCAGCGAAGGGCCGGAAGAATGCACAGAATGCACCGCTGGAAGATGGAAAGAAGGAGCTGTCCTTGGGCTCTTCGGGGTACCCAGCCTGGTGCTGGCGCATCAGCCGCCCCAGGCCGTCAGCTCCTTTCGGCTGCACCGACTGCCTGGCCCGCGCTTGCAACTCCGCCTGAGCGCGTTCGGCGGAGATGCGTTGGGGCCCAGGCCCCAAAGACCCAAGGGGGAGGCTCAATGAGGCCAGCTAGCCAGGGCTTTGAGTGCGGTTTTCGGTTTTGGTGGAGCCATCCCTGGATATCAGCAATTCTCAGAAGGCAAGTGCCAAGAAAGGATCAACCGGGAGAAGACTTGAGGAGCGGGTGAACGAAAGCTAGCAGTTGTTGCGTGAGATGGGTCGGTGACAGAGTGGATTCATAGGTAGCTTGTGTACAACGAGAGGCCCGGCAAGATTCGTAGGATGCGACACGCAAACGCACATGGTGGCGTGGCAAACCTTGAAAACTGAAAACAACGAGAGGCGTCAGAAGCTGTCTTAAAGCACCTCTGGGTTCTGCATGCAGCGTGTGCAAAGATTCTTGCGAGGTGGTTTACCGAGAAGACTGAGGTCTCAAATGAACAAGCTGAATCGGTGGAACATGTAAAAGTTCGTAGCACCAAGTCCAAAACGGGCAAACCGAGACTGCTGAACACTGAGCCACTGCCCGGGGGGGGGGGATGGACCAGGGAGGAATCGAGCCTGAGACCCGTGGGGGGGGGGGGAGGGGGGGGGGGGTCTAAATAATTGATGTTTTTCAATCTTTTCGGCTCAAATAATTGAAAAAATCAATCTTTCGGCATTTGAGCCCCTTACCTTGCTTACGCAAGGAGAAACTTCAGCTAGCTAAAGCTAGCTTTCGTGAACAGCTGGAATCCGCAAACATATCCATTCTCTTCAAGCATCGTATTCATGGTTATTTGCAAAAACCTATAGCCTATAGCCAATTTATCCCAGGCGTTTCATGGTTTGAGAAAAGGATGATCCCTGAACATAACGGGGCAGGTCCCGAGGACCCCAAAGTTGTGCTCCTTTGGCCACTCACAGAAGGCAACCCCAGCGCCGGATCAAATTTCCACCGGGGTGCGAGCACCGGGTGAGAGTTACGCCCCCTCATGTCAGATTGAACTGGTCCCACCGAATCGCCGCCGCCCTTGGGCGGCCTCGGCAGAAACCGGGCGAGTGGGACGAAAACATGGCGTACCTCCGTGGAAAAAGATCAGATGGACGGCTTCACCAGCTGCGAGCCAGCTGCGAGCATTTGCTGGACGTGAAGCTGGACAAAGAGGAGGCGTGAAGAAGCTTGAGATCAAGGGAACGCGGCTGCAAGCGCTGGCGCGGGAAATTGGCCGCAGGGTGCAGCCTGGACTTCGACTGTGTGCGTACTGGCTGCTGTTAGTTGCCTTGGGGGCAGCTGGCCTTTTGTACAGGCGCTGGCCCTTGAAGGAGCGCTTGGGCAAGCGTTGACCACGAATTTGACTGGCAAGAGAGCCGAACAGAATGTGGGATGTGGGCCTTTAAGGAACCGTAACCCATCCTGTCTTCTACCCAAACGTATATGTTTCCCCATGTTTAAGTTCGGTGCAACTCGGTTCATGGTGCAAGCAGCATACTGGTTGACAATTCGACTGATCTCAAGGTTCAATACTCTCGTCATCAGAAGTCGGAGCGTGTCCAGACACGGTTAAAGTACACGACTTGCAAATAAGCAGTGACGCCAAATTAAATCTGAACATGTCTACATCCCGACTGTTGCAGGGTGTCCCCCTCGTTCGAGCCACTGCCACTGCTCCAAACAGTCCCGCGGGCCGCGGCTTGAACAGCAGCACAACATGCGGGGTACATCAAGCGAGCCAAAAAAGATCCATTGAAAAAGGGCGCCAAGAACAGCAAATGGCAAAGACATCCCCTTTGCTGGACTTAACCGGCAAACCCGATGTCTCCTATCCAATTCCTAGGTTTGTCTTTAACCCTCCAGAAAAGAGTGAGCCTTTTGGTAGCTATTACAACAAGTTCAGAGACAAGTTCAAACCCGAACATGGTCACCCAGTCACCTTCTCGCCCCCCCCTCCCCCGCCTCCGCCAACTGCGCCCTCTGCTGCGCCAGCGCCGCCCGCAGCCGCGCCTCATCCCCGCCGTCCGCGCGCGGCGCATGGGAGCGGCGCGCATCTCGCGCGAGGCGAGAGGCCTCGAGCTCCAAGTCCTGTCTCGCGCCCAAACCGGGCTGGTGGGGTGGTAACATGGATGGACGAAATCCATTTCGCACCACCTAAGAAACCTGGAGCGATGATTCCCCCTGTAAAACCAACAAACAATGGATTCCCATGGTTTCGATCTGGTGCAGGCTTTGTCCATTGGGGCAAATTACTATTCCCAAAATGGAACTGCCGAATCCACAAATCGGTGAGCTTGGCAAAGTTTGTCTAGAAGGATGCCAAAATCCACCTCACTGCGCTTGACCAGCCTTGGGAGGACCTATTTTAGCCGCCAGGCCGCAGCCTTGCCGTACATCTGTACTGGAGCTTGCTGAAGGAAATGAGCAAATGCAATCATGAAATGGGGTTTTGCCAACAGCATGCAGCTTGAACTCAGAACAAGCTGAAGTTTGGCGACCTCTGGCTGCCTGCATGTGCAACTTGCATGTAGCTGCACGTCTGACTTTGCTCGCATGTCTTAGTGCCATTCCTGGTTTATCTTCAAACGGTGTGTCACTGAGTGCCAGGTGTTTACATGTGTATTTGTGTGTGTAAACACACATATGTGGATCATGTGTCATGGTGTCCATACTAAGACCATTTAGCATTTGCCTCCTCCATGGTTTGTAAACACACAAAGGGGAGGAGCAGTTGGACCCGTCTTTTTGGCAAACCTTGTTAAAAGGACATCAGCATGAAAGCAATATGTGGAAGGATCCCTCATTTGGACAGCTTCTGGGAAAAGAGCAAAAGAAGCGTGTTGTTTTGCAAGCAAATGCCGCAAAAGAGACCTTCTGGAGCGCGGCGTCCCAAGAGGGGACCCTATTTGGGATTTCGCATCGCCACTCTTACTCTTGGGGATTTCTCATATTGAGCAGGTCCCGAACCCACCACACAAAACGGGATTTAGAGGGGCCTGGACTCCACACCAGGTGTGTCCAGCCTTTTCCCAAAAAAGTGCAATTGCATTCTTGGCCGAAATCCCAAGAAACAAGAGGGAAACAAGTTGCCACTGAGCTCTCCCAGTTCACAGGTCGAAGAAAGAGCCCTTTGGAGGGACCCATGTTTACCAAAATCAGACTTGGCCCAAACCTGAGGTACACCAATCGCATGGCCCAACAGCATGAGGCACGCTTTTGGGCCCTAGTTGGAGCTCGTCCTCGGAAGCCCTGCCTCAGAGCCCCGGAGCCTATCTGGGCAAATACCCCGCAGCCTTCAGCTGTTGGGGAACAATCTGGTGAGATCCTGTTTCATATGTAATCAACCTCCAACCTCAAAACATCCTTTTGCGCAAAAAAACACAAAAACACTAAAAAACACAAATTTGACCACCTGCAAGATCCTTTTGCGCAAAAAGACGACCCAAAAAAAACCCAAGGAAAGCTGCAGCTAGACAGACTTCGGGCCTGGCAGGCCTGGCGCAGGCGCTGCGCCTCCGAGCTCGCAGCCTCCGAGGCTTCAAGGCTCAGCGCGGGGGCTTCTGGGGGTGTCGTCCTCGAGTTGCTCAAGGTGCCTGGGGAACAACGTAGATGTGGAATAGGAATCGATGCCCTCCAAAACCAAGAGGGGGGAAATACAAAATAAGGCAACATAGTTCTAGGGGTACCTTTCAATTCCGTTCTTTCCAGGGATCCTTCTCTTCAGGAAACCACCAAGCATTTAAAACCAAGGGTTTTTACCGCCGGTTTTTGAAAAGAACGATGGTCGAAAAGAATGGGGAATCAACCCGTAGAATAGGAAGCGAATCCCTCCAAAACCAACAGGGAAATGCAAAATCAGACATAGGCAAATGGAAGAGAACCCAAACATGGCAATTTGTGGCAACTAAGGGCTTGTGGCAGAGGTTGGTCTCACTAGGTTTGGGAGTCACCATGGTGTTTGAGCTAAGTTGGTTGGACATGCAAGAGGGCCCCAACAGCGATCGAATGGTGTGACCGGAGCAGCAGGGGCTAGTTTGGTGGCTCGCGTTTGCAAACCCGTGAATGTCGTTTGGGGAAAATACCCCCTTATTGCTCCAATATGGCCTTAAAGTATGGCCTTACTTGAATGGGTATGTGTCAAAATGGGTGATCCAAAAATGGTTTTGGGCTGTCCTCTCGGTTTCCCTTTACTCCTATGCGAAAATGGAATTGACTCCAAAAGAAACGCACACCCAAATTTTGGGGGTTCCCCAAAAAAGACCCGTATTTGGATGGAAGCCTTCCGCCACCCTTCTGGCACCCCACCGCCCAGAGCCCCGAGCCACTCCGGACCTGGCAGAGTTTTCCCATGGCTTCAGCTCTTGGAGAATTGGTGAGACTCTGTTTCATACTTGGCTGTGGCTCAAAAAACTGGTACCAAAATGGCCACCTTGGTAAATGAACCGAAGTCTAAAACCTGCGCAACCCTAGCTCTTGAATTTTCAGCCACACCCATTTAGTCCACCTCAAAATATAATCTTAAAACCTCACTGTATGTGGTTCATTAGGCTCACACTCTGCCACCTGTCCAAAAGACGTTTGCCAAAGGAATCGAAAAGGGTGCAGTACTGCAACGCTGGGGGCTCACACTATCCTTTCGTGTAACCCAAGAAACGAAAGGACAACAACTGGGCTGCCCTCAGATCCCCTGCCCAAAAGTTGAAAACTTTCAGTGGGTTAAATGGAAACTACCACTAAACCACCTAAAAAGCTTCAAAAAGCTAAAAAGCTAAGGAAGGAACCGGCACCAAGAAAGCCCCTGGGCATAGGTGTCCTTCCAGGGGAAATGGATGGCCTTGGTAGATGATTAAGCTACCAGGTAAACCAGGAATCGCCATCTATGTTCCTAGCAAAACAACCAAGAAGGACACCTATGGCCATGCCCAGCAGCCCTGATGGCTTAGATCTATGGGCTTGATAGCCTGCTAGCCCCGAAGGATAACCCCCTGAAAGGAACCCCCCTCATATGCCCCTCCTCCCGAAACCTAAAGCTTCTCGCCCGCGCCTGGGCCTTTTTCTCCGCCTCTAGCGCCTGGGCGGCGGTTTTCTTGGCCCCCGCCTTCTGCTGCTGCGCCAATTGCCGCGCCTGGTGCCTGGCGACGGGCGAAGGGCGAAGGCTGGGAACCACCGGCCTTTACAACCCTTGGTATGGCGGCCAAAAGGAAGACAGGTGCTTTGCAGCCCCTTGAATTTTCAGCCAAACAGAAGATATGTGTTTTGGCCGGCCCCCAGCTAAGAACCAACAGGCAGCAAGATGAAGAAATGCTTTTTGCCAGCCCCCATGCTAAAAATGAAGAGAACCCAAAAAAACCTTAAAAACAAACCACTTGCCAAATGACCCCAACTCCCTGGGTCCCACCGTGAGAACCAGAAAGGCTTGACATGCCCAAGAAAGGCTGGGCCTCAAAAGCGGGACGGAAACCGCCAAAGCCCCAAGGGAGCCGCTGGTCGTTGGAGGCCAAGACACTTCTGCCGGTGGCCGAAAGTTGGGAATCCGATTCCGTGAGGAAACCTCACATCTCTAGACGGACCAGGCCAACGGAAACGGCTCCTCGGGGGGGTTTGAGGGTGTATCCTTTGTTCCTCCATTTTACCGCGTTGGGCATTCCCCTAACGGGTCGGAAGCTACCCCCTCTTGCCCCGACCTTGAGCTTCATTGCCTGCAAGAAATGAAAGGTGATCACCTCTTGGGATGGCATGACAAGCGACTTTGCTGGATTTGGACCCCCAAGAGACAACTGTTTGTATGAAAGGGACAATGAAGGAACCCCAAAAGGGCTTCAAGCATCTTAGCTCTGGCAGCGAACAAGGCACAACACGGCAAAAGCTCGACTCGTTTCAGACTGTGTAAAGGTCAGGCTTTCGGATGTTCGTCCACAACCTATTGTGGACCCCGGCATTATTTTCGGGAAAAAAAACTACTGGCGGAGCCAGAGGAGAGGCCTCCCGAAGACTTATGAACATCCACTTGTGGCCTCGGCTGCTCTTCCCGCCCTGAGCAACATGTCTAACCTTGTGTTGGTTTAATGGACAACTTGTGCGGCTGTGGGTCAAAAATCGGTACCCCAAATGGAGCCCTGGGAAGTGGAAGCAATGACCAAAACTTGTGGTCCCCTGGCTTGATTTTGCCCCATACCCATGTGCTTCCCAAAATGTCTAAGGGCCACAGGTCACACCAAGGCCGAGCCATCCGGCTTCCTCAGAACTTCGAAACCCTGAGGACCTTTGACTCTCCAGTTGCCCGCTATGTGTTTACTAAAGCTTTTGAAGCCTTGACAAAACGACCATGGCTCCCTATTTTCCGCAGGAATCACCCCACTTAAAAGAAATCGATTTCAAATCGGTCCAAAAGGTGATGCTCAGAATCTGGACCAAGACAGCCAAATAAAGCTGTCAGATCCAGGTGCTTTAACGGCAAAGTCGATTGTCAAACAACATTCAAAGAAAACCCAACCCAAAACCCCAACTCCCCCATCCCCAAATCCCCAAATCCCCAAACACCACCAGCCGCCCCCAGCCGCCCCCTTGCTCCCAGATCCCACGCCCCAAGCCCCACCTCTCGTGCTCAGCCGCCAGCACGCGATCCTCTGCAGCATGGAGCTTGCACCTCGAGCTCAGCCAGCGGTCCGAAAGTGGTTCTGGAAAATGTGTGTATATGTTATATGCCTATACCGGGAATGTGTGGGATTTAGCCAACGTTAATATAGGTGTATATATATATATATATATGTTCCGAGGCCTCAGGATAAGCATTTCTGTGGTTACCAAAGTGTCCCAATGACTACCTTTTCCATGCTAAATTACATGGGACTCCCTTGATATCGCCGAAAATGGCCCCGATCCAACTTTCCACAACCACGCCTCCCCGGTTGGACTTTGAGACTGACACTTTCAAGTGGGATTTTCTGTGCGGGGAACTTTAAGCTGCCGGGCCGAATGCAACACATGGAAAGGCCAAGATTGGTGGGTAAAACGTCAGAACATTTGGGCAGAGACCCTTCGAGAAGCTTTCAGCTGGAGTGCCCTTTCTGAAAAAATAAACAGATCTCCACCGGACAGCTGTACGGCCTCCCAAGATAGCCCAAAGGTCAGCTGAACCATTGGACAGCTTTTGGGGGGTGGCAGTGGAGTGTGTAGGCTTCCCTTTCGCCGAATTTAGCGATGTAGTTGTCTAATGGAATATCCCTTTGCGTGCTACAGATGCAAACAGCTGTACAGTTATCCACTTGGTCAGCGCTTTCACCCTGTTTCTGTGATTCTCCCAGTCTGAGACAAGTGCGGGTGGGGGGGTTGGCAAAAGTAGAACATGTTTGGTATACTCCGTAAAGGGTGGCACAAGGCGGCGCCAGGATCCAAAAAGGCTCCATACTTTTGACAA